AAGTGTGAATTGGACCTTTTTTAATTCAAGGGATGAATTGAGCTTACATGACCAATACAAGGGTCTATTTGACCCTTTAGCCAATAATCTTCACTGTTTGACTTTATGGTTTTTAAGAAAGTGTTTTTTTGTGTTCACTTTCCCTTTATACCGTCAAAAGAAAGTTACCCCCCTACTGTTCATAGTAAAAAATGAGACATTTCCTTTTTTTACTCCAGGGGGCGTCTGGAGGAGGGGGTTGGAGGATCCTGGAGTAATCTAGGCTGAAACTCACTCCATTGAGTTTCGAACCCGAGACCTCCTATAAGGGAGAGTGAGTCGGCGACCAGCTGGGCTGGACCGCTTCCTCAACGAGACCTTTCCATTCAATATGACCGAAGTGGCCGGTGCGCCATCAAGAGGAGGGATGAATTTTCGAGATGCAAAAAAGGAGGAAATATTTCAGTTTTTGGATTCCCTCCAAACTCCAACATTTACGACGGTACTACTTCTAGCTATAAATACACTACATTCATTACACAAATTTAAGAGATCCAACTACTTCTAAAGATAGAAATCTTCATCTACTTTCTTCCTTCTTTAATGTCGATCTTTTGCCATTTTTTTACTATGAATAGTAGGAGATAACTTTCTTTTGAGGGTATAAAGAGAAAGTCAACACAACAAATTCCATTTAGGACCACTATAATTTACAGGTTTGATTCAGTAGTTCTCCGTATTTTTTTAGTTCTAAGAGTGAAATTAACTTTTTAAGATTAGTAGTTAACCTATGTTAAGTTCTAGGGAAATTTATACAAATAAGACCTAATCATATGAATTTTCCAAAACTAGGACTCTAAGTATGCGTAGGACATAATTGCATATGCTTTGACTATTATACCCTTAAATTAAAAACACAAAGCTTCATCATATAAAAAACCCTCGGCTCTAAACATCAATTTTTGGCAGACGGCCAAACTAGCTGCTTAGTAGCTTCCAAAATTGCAGACGTGGTGAAAAATTTTGTAGACCCAAATTCTTCTTAGAACTTCCAAATTGCAACCAGAAAGAACGACAAAAAAACAAGTCGGTCGACTATGAAGAAAGCCAATGAAGAAAAGATTGGATGATACGGAAGGATACAGACGCTGAGAACACCGAAAAGGAACAAGAACATTCTGACAGAAAGACGTTGAAGCTAAGAGGTCCAATAAAAAGGAGTTCAGTAGGAAAGTTGTACTTCAATCTAGTCAGGTAGTCTGTTCACTGACTTTATTAGAGGAAAGTAAATATAATAAAATCAATGGTTCTCGGATACATATGCCTACAAATGAAGAGCAATATAATGAAATCAATTCGAATCAAATAATGGACCATAAATTCATAGGAATAATGTTGATGTTAAATGTGGTTAGTCATATGACATAGTCTAGTAGGTAGGCACTATTTTAAACCGTTTTACTTGATCTTGTGCACACATTCCGGCAACAATTACATACCATTCATTTTATGTAACTAGGGTATGAATAGATGTTGTTAGACATAAACAGTATATGATTAGTATCAATGGGCAGTGAATAATATTTTATAAATTGAACTGTTATGTCCACTAAAGACTATAATACTTGACAAAATTATTATTACCAATATCTAACACATGGAGAATTTTCAATTTAAGAAGTAATATTTCAAGACTTCAATAAGAAGAGCTTTTGAGGAGTTTCATAATATATTAGTGAATAAAGAACATTTAAATTATAGGGTAAAACTGGATATAGTCAATTAAATTGCAAATTACTTCGTACATAATTGTATCAAATGTCAGTGCATTGTCCAAAATTCTACATCAACATGTTAGATTCACCTTTGTGAGTTTTACTTTTGCATTGAAAATATATGCATATTTGAAAGTTTCTCCTAAGACAACACATGTTTGTAAGTCAGACTGTTAGAGGAAGGAAGAAGAAAATAATCACCAAGATTGCTAAAGTGACTAGTACCCAAACACACAAATATAATGACACTACTAGATTTTATATTTCACAATGAAAAGGTAAAATTATTTGTAAGGTATATATGGTCTGTAATGTAACTTTATGCTCTATGGTGTAGAATAACTTAGTGCAATGCTAATTTTCTTCTATGTGTTGCAGTTTGAATATCAGAAAATGCGATCAAGAAAGAATGAGCTTAAGATTGCAATAATTACATCAAGCCGTCTTAGATTGAAACATGGATCATCAAACTAGAAAACAAGTGTTTGTATTGATGGAAATAATGAAGAAGTTAGGCAAGTTCATGGAAGTGCTGGCACTAGACTTCAACAATGAAGAGTTTGAAAGTGAAAACTTTTATTGCATTGATAAAGAAGATGGTGATATGCAGGAAAAGAATGGTGAGGGTGAAAAGAGTGTGTGGACTACAAATAGTGATTGAGTTTCTTAAGAGAAGAAAAACAGTCAACCGCCAAATCAAGGATAGAGCAATCATGCGTAACATCATGGTGGAAACAGGTTGCTTAAAATCGCTTGTAATACAAATACAATAGGTGACCTAAGATGCATTGTAATAATTAGATTGTTGGAAATAAAGAATATGTAAAACTTCATTCTATTGGTCATTAAGTATTGTGGTTACATATTATTAGTTACATTTTGTTTTGAAATATGACAATATAAGGTATCCCTTTTCAAATGAAATGAGGGTTCACTTCTACTTTTTATTTCATGTTGAGATCACTGTAAACTCTAAAATAATTATGGAATGAAGTCCATAAGTAGTCCATAATAAGTCTTTAATAAAACAAGCATAGACATTAAATGACTATAATTATAAAGCAAGTATACAAATTAGTTGCATCATTAGGTAAAAGCTTACAAAGTAACAAAAGATTTTAACAACTTAGCTAGTGAAATAAATTTTAGATACAGGACACTCGAAATAAATATGAAAATGAAGTTGTTAAAGATAGACGCCTAAAACATTTCACACAAACAATTGTTTCACAAACATAGTACGCAATATCTAGAAACTTTGACTTGTAGATAAGAAAAGAAATGAGAAGCACTTTGAGTAAAGGAAATTGGTATGTTAAAAGCATTTTGGAGTAGTCAATAAATAGGTACAAAAGAGGTTGTCAGTAATGAGACGGTAGAAAGACATTAAATTCAAATATATTAGCTAGTTTTTTAAACTATTCTTCAATAAACTTGAGTATACGAAATAGAAAATAAAACGATCTCCAATGTCAATAAACCATGACAACTAGCTTAATCTCAATTTTCAACAAATCATTACAATTATAAACTATGAGCAAACCAAAACAAAAAGTCCCACAACTCTTATGGGAAGAAATAAAAATGGAAGTGGTCGGACATTGTGAATTTATGAACTATGGACTGGAATAGGATCCCTTCAAGCTGCAGCTATCCATAAACATGTTCTCAAGTTGAAGGTAGATGCTTCTTTTTAGGTGTACCGAAGTTGCATGTGAGACATATAGGTGGGTTGCACGTCATGAACTACATAAAATCAGGAAGGTCCCGATCAAAGCGATAACCAACTGGTGCATCACTCCACTATAATGAGTAACCCACTCGTGTGTGATGTAATACTTTGAGATGTAATACGTTGATCCACAACTGCCAAACCATGAACACATAGGAGCCGTTCCAATTGAAACTCCCAACATGAGCGTGTTTTGTCTTCGACTTTAAGAATAAACTTCTAGATGCTTTGTTTGTGACCTCAAACTTGAATTTAGTAGCATGCTTAACCTAAAGTAGCATACACGACATCAAAAGTAATTACAAAGTGAATGTAGGGTATGAAAATGGTAGAAGAACAAAAAATATCATTCGGAACATAAATATTCTAGATGCATTTATGTATCAGTGTTTGATTATATTAGCAATTATATTTTGAAAACTTTTACGTTTTTCATATTATGTGACCTCAAACTTGAATTTAGTAGCAGGCTTTACCTAAAGAACCATACACAACATCAAAAGTAATTACAAAGTGAATGTAGAGTATGAAAATAGTAGAAGAACAAAAAATATCATTCGGAACATAAATATGCTAGATGCATTTGTGTATCAGTGTTTGATTATATTAGCAATTATATCTATTGTGGCTTGACGGTGGAGGGCCTTGTTTGACTTCAAGAGAGCATGTAACAACAGACAATACAGAAACATTAAGTAGCCAGTAAATAGACAATAAATTCTAGCAATATATACAATACACTATATTACAAAAACATGAGAATCATCTCAATTAAGTACCATCCACTTTTAGTATAATCGGGATTGTGATGTAACTGGTGTAAAAGTAGCAACGGGTGAGATATATTATGGAATAATAAACAAATTGTAAAGTAAAAGTAGCATATCAAATGATTTGTTAAACACATGAAAACACAAGAAGTCCACTCAGCAATAATCGAGCCAAATTGTGAAGGTGTTCTGCTTACAGATTTGAGAGATATAGTTTCAATAATATGTCAAATAAGAAGTTCATAAACAACTAACAACATGGTAGAACAGATTACGAAAATGTAAAAAAAAAACAAAAGAGGATAACAAGACAAATGAAAACTTGCAACAAAAAATTGCAGAAGAAACAATCCGTAAATTGCTCTATATGAGGAAAACACCATATTATTATAGAAGGATTTTGAGTAGCTCTCAGCTGCAATGAACGGGAATTACGAAGGAATTGTTACCGATGGAATTCAAAATCTCGATGCAAATCGTGAAAGCTCGCATGCAGTTCGTATATGTTGACTTAGATCGTTAACGCATCCGGAGTTAGGTCAGCAATAAAAGTCAAGGGTAATTTAATTTAGGTAACTTATAATTAAGTTTCTAAAAATAGAACTATTATAGATGTCATTTTCATTTACCTCGGTGCCGCAAACACTATTATAGATATATATAAAGGTAATTTTACTAAGAAGGTCTTATTTGCGTCAAATAGCTATGAAATGGTATTATTTAGGCAATTTTCTCTAAGTTCTACGCACAGCTAAGGCCAAAAAACGGCCCAAATGCTCTCTGGTCACGTGGCAACCAGCAAACCATAAAGCCCTCACAAAACCTCAGCGACCATTTTCTTTGCGTGGTGATCGATTACTTCTCCGGTGGCGCAACTGACTCAGATCTCCAGAAATGAGGAGGCTCTATGGAATCGCCGCCACACTCCAAGCCACCAGAGGCTATTACGCCGCCGCGGCTCGAACCACAGAGCATAGGTTAATCCAATCGGCTCTGTACAGCACCCATAACAATTCATCTGCAATGTCACACTTTTTCTCACACAATAAGCGCGAGGACCAGTCCTCTCGAACCTCTGCTCACGTCTTAACCGGAACAGTGCTTTTCTCCGTCGCGGCGTCATCTTTGGCCGAAGAGGCTCACGCTAAAGAGCCGGTCCCTCCCAAATTTCGCCCTGATGATGTAGTTCTTTATCAGTACGCGGCTTGCCCTTTCTGCAACAAGGTTAAAGGTATTCTTTTTACTTGTTCCTTAGTATTTGTGCGACTTTCAGCTTATTTCGAGCATAATTGTCCGCGTTGGTTTACATAGAAACTAACTACGAAGCCTGAATAGTGGGAAAGAATTGATTTGCTTATGATTGCTTAGCCGCTTTCTCTTTATGCGACTCTCGTTTATGTTTCTCTTTTTTTCGTAGCATTCCTTGATTACTATGACATCTCATACAAAATTGTGGAGGTTAACCCGATCAGCAAAAAGGAAATTAAGTGGTCGGATTACAAGAAGGTGCCTATCTTGATGGTTGACGGCAAACAGATGGTGGATTCATCAGGTTTGTTTGATTTTTTTTCCATTTTTTCCTATTTGTATTTGTACAGTATCATATTGGCTTTCATTTACTCAGTTTCATTAGGAGAACTAACTATTGTATGGCATTTAACTATCAAGGAGCATAATGGTAAGATCTAGTCCTTACGTTTCTTGTTAGGTTTACATTCGAAGCTAATGGTTCTAATTGGATGTAGATATAATCGATAAGTTGTCCGAAAAGGTTCATCCACATCTTGGTGACAAGTCTACTTCAGACAAAGATGAAGAGAACAAGTGGCGCAAGTAAGCAGGACTTTCCTATATTTGTGATGATAGAAAGTCTTTTCACAAGTCCATGTTCAGCGATATTATCCAAAAGTGATTTTTGTATTGTGAAATAACTTGAAATCCAAAAGAAATTTATTGTTCCCTATAGATGAAAGTTTTATTGTATTGAATTAGTGATGGAAATGTTCTCAAATTAGGTGGGTGGATGATCACTTGGTGCACATTTTATCTCCAAATATATATAGAAGTGCTTCTGAAGCTTTGGAATCATTTAACTACATCACCACTCAAGGTAAGATTGTCTATTACTGCTTCCTATTAAAAAATAGGCAATAAATAATTAATACTCCATAAGTTTAAAACTTTCTTAGAAAAAGGTTCTGTTTGGTTAAATGTTTTTTAGTTTTTAGATATTTCTCATGTATCTGTTAAGATTCTCCATAGCTCAAGTGTTTGTGTTTAAATTGTGATTTTGCTTCATTTTTTATTTTATTATGACTCATGTTTTGTCCTTTTTTGGCAAGTTATACTTTCTGATGAAGGAGAGAGTTGTATAATTAATTTCATATATGGATACTTCACATTAAAGTATACAATGAATACAGATGGATGTATATAGGCGGCTATTTGCAATGGTCTTCTGTGAGCAGATACTCCATATTAGTTAACAGCACAACAAAACTGATATATTTTTCTTTTCTTTTGCTCAATTTCATTTTGACCATACTTGTCACGGCGGTACGGGGAGTCGCGGCGCCATCTGACCGCCATATCGTCTAGTCGACAAGACGCCCGCTTAGGCGTCGATTAGGCGACTAGTCACACACTCACACATTGTATAGTATTTAGATATATAATTATATCTTTATATATTTGACAATATTACATTCTATTTAACTATATTTAATTTTTAATTAATTATATATTATATATGATATATTATGAATTAAATTGTATATTGCCTAGTAATTTATTACTATATTAATATACCTAATCTGTTAGTATACAAGTTATTTATTTCAAAATTAATCAATTAATATACCTAATTTATTATATTTCCAATTTATTAATATACAAGTTATATGCATTGCTAATATATACTGTAGTGTTTATCTGATATCTATACATACTCTATAGTGTATATGAATTATACAAGTATAGTATCAAAATTAAACTTTGTAAAACTGTAGTGGGTATACTGTTTAGTGAGTAACTGCATATAAAATAAAATATATTAATAAAAACATAATGGAATAAGAAGTCTGATAAAGACTAAAGTGATAAGATGAATAAAAAGCTGGAGGAGTAGCGACTAGCAATGCAGCCGCTACAGGTAGCAACTACAGGTTGCCTACTCGTCTTCGACCTTGCGAAAGAGCCACTAAGCAGAGAAGTAGCGACTAGCGATGCAGCTGATGCTTCACCTTTAGGAGTCGTCGATTGGGCTTCGAGTTAGAGAGTTGAGAATTGTCCTTTTGGGTTGGGCTTCTAAAAATGAATTTATTGAGATTTCAAATCTCCCCTGACGTGATGCCAGGACTGCGCCTGAACGACATGTTTCCGCCTGGACGACGCCAGAGGCGACTAATCTTCCTCCGGCGAGTTGATCTCCCCTGTCAATCCTTCTCTATCACCAGGTCACCTAGTAGGCGACTAGGCGACGCCTAGGCAATGCTGTGAAAAGTATGATTTTGACTAATAATGTTCAGAAATATGCAACATGTCTAGGAATCTTCATATTGAATATCAGTGCTATAGATATTCCTATTTTGCAATCCACAGTAGTTCTGTAAAAATGATTTATGGGTAGCTTTTGGTGTAACAAGATATCAGCTCAAAAAATAATTTTTGTGGAAGTGATTTCTTTCTTTTCTTCCTCCATATCCAAATTAACTTACTTCTTTTTTGCTCGTTTAAAAAACTATCCTTCCATTTCCTCAACAATATAATTTCATCCCCTTTGCCACTCGGTCATGTTTCTATTCAAGCACTTCTCAGTGCTCACCTGTGTTTGCTTTTATTGTGAGCAGGTAACTTCAGCTTTTATGAGAGAGCAGTTGCAAAGTATGCGGGAGCTGCAGCAATGTATTTTGTATCAAAGAATTTAAAGAAAAAATATAACATAACTGATGAGCGTGCATCATTGTATGAAGCCGCTGAAACATGGGTTGATGCTTTAAATGGTCGAGATTTTCTAGGTGTGCATGTGTGTGTGTTCCTGTCACTGCTTGCACGGTCCATTTTCATTAGTACATATATATTTAGTTTGGTTTTCTCTTCCAATTTAACTGTGGAAATACTTTCTTCATTAACAGGCGGAACTAAACCAAACTTGGCTGACCTTGCTGTATTTGGTGTGCTGAGACCTATCCGCTACTTGAGATCGGGTAAAGACATGGTGCAGAACACACGCATTGGTGATTGGTACAGTAGGATGGAAACTGCAGTCGGCCAACCTTCAACTGTTCATGCTTAGCTAGCTTGAGGTGCTCTTAACATGCCTGAACTTTATGCCTCTTCTTTCCGGAGAAGGTGGCGTATGAAATTCATTTTTGCAAATAATACATACACGGAGATTGGATAGAATTTTAAATGTTATTCTGGTGGAGTGAATTTTAAACTTGCTATCGAAAGTGCATTAGTGTAATACATTAAATTAAACCCATATAGTGTTCAAAATTGATCAAGTGACAGCACTACACCCGGTATGGTCTCCCAAGGTAGGAACCGTAACTGTAACTGGTATTATGGTTCTGGTGTAGGTAGACAAACACGTCGTACATCCCTGGATTGGTTCTTGGTACCAATTCTGGATTGGAAGACAAACACGGTATGCTACTGCCCCCCCAAAATGGTCCTCCGTTCAAAACCGTGACTGTGTCCATCCCTGACTACAAGTAGTTGCGGTGCAAAAAATGAGCTAATTCCTCGATTTGAGCTCGACTCATTTATTTGAGGAATCGAGCAGAGTAGACACAATATGATAACTCAATTAAAAAATAACTTGAGTCAATTCAACCTGAACATCTGGCTTGGATTAATCATTGTGATTTTACATACTTGTAATTTTTTTGTTTGAGTTTGTTTGTGTTGAAGGAGAGTCTTGAGTCTTGACGCATCGGTTAATCGGTTATAGAGTTGGGTCTCTTATCAAAACGGTCCTCAAAGCCAAAGGGAGGGCTTGTCCCTTAGACACATTTGTGGTGGGACTCTTTCCCGAACCCTCGTCTTGCGGGGAGGGCATTGTGCATTTGTGCATGAGGCAGCCCGTTTATGAGTTTGTTTAGGCTAGTTGGTTTGAGCGTGAAATGAGTTGTATTAGAGTGACGTGGGAGCTAAAATATGTGGATTACGAGGGTGATTCTGCATGACTGTATGAGTAATAGAGTGAGGTAAACTACAAGATGGTCCTACTATGTATTGGGCCCACTGCCCAGCGTGGGGGTATGGAATCTCTTCGGTGGGGGGTCGGTTTTGACTCGGGTAAAGAAACGGTCCGAAAGGTAATGGTTTTTGGGATTATTCATCACATCATAATATGGGTAGGAATCAATGTGCGAAGCAAATATGAGACAATGGAGTAGTTGGGCTCACGGGTGTGGTCTCGTGGGGGAGGAGAGGACCCTTTGACAGAAATTGCAATGCCGTGGGGTTAGGGAAAGGTCATACAGACGATAAAAGTAAGAGTATGTTAAGGAGTTAGGTTTTGGATGAGAGAGTTTATGATCTTTCTTTTTTGTTTGGGAGCAAAAATTTGGAATAGATGAATTCCGAGAGTTTTTGTAATCTTTTAAACCGTTCAAATGTTCAATTTACAATTCCTCCAAATTGGAGTTTTTTGAAGTATAATATATTAAATAAATGATAATTTCAGCCCTGTTTAAAATAAATAGAAGTTCAACTCTTAAGTTGGCTAGATATCTTTAGTGATTTTAACTTTCAATTAAAGAAGGATTTCTTTCAAAATATAATCCGTCTCCAAGCTCCCAAACATACTACTACGTACAAAGTAATTGAATTTTTATTCATTTTAAATTACACTAAATTTATCATTTAATTATTTATCCCTCAAAAACTCTGAATCTGAGAAATTTGAAAATTGAGATTTGAAAGGTTTTGAAGAGTCATAAGATGGGGATCTAAAGCCCCTTATCACAAGGGGAAATCTCGAGTTCGAATCTCGCCAACTGTGGTGAGCGGTTGCTACATAAAAATGCACAAGGTTTATACACGTATTAAGTCAGAGCCCAAAAACTCAAGTCAAATATTGATGTATAGTATTTTGTAAGTTTGTGATTAAAATTCAATTTTACATTTTCTCAGTTAACTCTCCGACCACGGGTGGGGAGGCCTCACGAGTATGATTAGGCATGGACTCGGGCCGGGTGGCCCGACCCGGGACCGGCACTGTTCCGGCCCGGCCCGAACCGGTGGCCCGGTCAGTGACCGGTCCGGGTAGGCCCGACCCGGTGGGTTTCCGGTCCGGGCTCGGGTCACCCATAACAAGGCCCGGCCCGGCCCGGCCCGGGCACGGTTCGGGCCAAATTTATTTTTTTTTGGTTTTTTTCATTTGTTTGGGCTCCACCGGGTTGGGCTTGATGTTTAGGAGGGGTTTGGGGGTGGGGGGTGAGGGGGGGGGGGGTCAGGGATGGGTAGCTAAGAAAAAAAAAATTAACCAAACCCGAGGCCCGGCCCGGCCCGGACCCGGTGGCTACCCGGGCCGGTCCCGGGTCCAACTATATAGGACCGCCGGCCCGGGCCCGACCCGGCCCGGGTCCAGCTGTATGATCTATCTTTTTTCTTCAAAACTTAACTCCCACATATAATCTTTAAAGGAAATGTGATGTTACTCGTGGAAACCTAGAAATTATAAGAAGGGTAAAATAATATTCTATCAGTCCCTTATTACTTCAAAACTTAACTCCCACATTCTTTTATTAATTTTCTTTCTTCTATACAAATAATTATGAGTCGTGCTTGGTGTGCACATTTTGGTGTACACCTTTTGTACACTTATCTGTCTTACTCATATAGAGTTGTCTCTACACAAACATTTTTGAATAATTATTCCATTCGTTAAGTTAAAAGGTAAAAAATTGTTCTTCTCTTGCTTTGTACATGTAATTAAGAAAGAGTACGAGTGTGCAGGGGCGGAGCCAAAAGGGGGTCAGGGTGGTCAGTCGATCCCGCTGAAAGTTCAAGAATGTAGAGCTCTGAAATATCTTCGATTTGATATATCACGGGTCTCATAATTCATTACGAGTAAAAAATTATGCGTTCTGAAAAAATCAGCATCATCTTAACTTGAAATAAGCATATTTTGATGTGTGGTATTGATTATATTCTTAAATTTAAAAATAAAACACCTTACTCACTCATTAGTTGTGTGAACATTATAATACATTTCATATATATCAATACTATAACTGAATATGTCTCATTAAACTAACATTTATCTAAGTAACATATAAAACATAATAATGATCTACTATTTTGATATTGTATATAATTATATTTCGACCCCATCACACATTTTTCTAGCTCCGCCACGGCAAGTGTTTTGGTACTACTTAAATCGAGAAGAGCATTTAGTGGATGCTTCATATAGATTCAGTGGTATTTTTTTTTTTTGAGGGAAAGATTCAGTGGTATTATTATGCGTATGAATTTGACGGTAGAGGAGAATAGGGCTATAAATATTGTAAATCACACACACCATTTTAAGAGGATTAGGTGAATGTCTATACACGTTTCATTACTTCTTCCACTCATATTTTAATTCTCCTCATCTAGGACTCAAAATCAAGCACACTGCACACCCCTAGATCCAGATGGATTAGTAAGTTAATAGTACTCCCTCCGTTCCTATTTTATCTTCCAAATAGATTTTACACACAATTTAAGATAATAAGTATTGTGTGGTGGAGAGTTGTGCAGAGGAGAGAGAAATGTGTAAGAAATGTTGTGAACCACAAATTCTTTATTAAAAAGGGAAAGTGGAAGTTTTAATTGGAACGGACGAAAAAGGAAAGTTGGAAGTTTTAATAGGAACGGAGGGAGTATAAAATATCTTAAAAAAATGGAAGTAACCATCACTAGAGGTGGGTGAGATTAGACCATCCATCGATGATGTAGTACAGCCATAAATAAAATTGTGATTAACATGTACTATTAGTGATAATAATAACAAATTAAAGCAAATTTGGCATGCTTAGGGTGACGTTACATTAATGGTGGTGTAACCCCGTTGTCCATTTGTAGTACAAAAAGCCTTAAATGGACCATAAACGACCGAAAATTTTAGCTTCTTCACCCGCATGCAACACGCTGTTGATGTATACCATAGAAACAGGATGACTCATCCCACAAATTTTGATTCAATAAAGAGTCCCACGCATCATGCACAACCAACATGTTCCATGGATTTATTACTTTGAAAAAAGAATAATAAAGATAATAATGAAAATATAATCCTCAAAATGTAATTATGTTTAAGGGGGTGTTTGGATTTGAATCTTAAAATTGTTTCTGCTCCTTCAGGGAGCAGAAGCAGAAGTTGGAGTGTTTGGGTAAAAGTGCAGAAGTGATTCTGGTGCTCTAATTTACTCCTAGAATCAGTTTTTTTAGAAGCTGGGGGTGACCAGCTTCTGAAAACTGATTCTGATTCTGCTTCTGCTTTAAAAAAGAAGTAGAATCAGAATCAGTTCCAAACACATCCTATGTAAATCTTATGCGCATTTCGCTACTACTACTAAATAAGAGACAACATCTTTATCTGAAACCTCTCTTATCCTTGATAAAAAGTGATAGAAGTAAAATTTTAAAAGTCAAGTTGATAACAAATGAGAGTTATTCAGGTGGACCACTTCTCACAAGTAAGACCGGTTTTGAATGCGAAAGTTCCCGAAATAGGACTAAAACAGTTTGAAAATTTCAAAATAGGACTGTCATGTTTTTATTTCCAAAATATGACTAATTACTGATATGTTTAGAAAATACTATCAATTTTGAAGTCTGGTACTGCCAAAACATGACAGTAATTAGTCCTATTTTGGGAATAAAAACATGACAGTCCTATTTTGGAATTTTCAAACTGTTTTAGTCCTATTTCGGATAATATCTCGTTTTGAATTCAAGTCATTAAGAATGTAAATTTCTAACCAGTGGGCGTAGCTCAACTGATAGCAAAGGAGTGCCATAAGAGTTAGGTCCCGGGTTCGAATCCCGGCAACTGCGATGAGGGGTTACTATGCTAAAAATGCACAGGGCCTCTGCAAGTACTGAGGACAGAGCCCCACTTTCTATCTGTCAAATTGTGATTATAATCCAACTTACGTCTACCGTCCGGTCGGGGTTGAGAGACCTTCAGGGATGGGGTGTCATCCTTTTTTTGGAAGACTTTTCTAAGATGACATATGCTTTGATTTAACCATTGAGACTAGCTCGAGTAGGCACAATTTTCGTCTATATGTTTTGGTTAGTTCATAGACTTGCACTATAGATTAAATAAAACAAATGAAACACATGATTCTATGTGAAAATGTGCCTAACCAAAAATATTATTTTGTACTTTTTCCTAGATTAATCTCCATCCTCTCTCATTTAACTCTTCTTTCTACCTCTTTCAAAAAAAAAAAAAACACTTCTTTCTACCTTCCTTTAAAAAAAACCCTTCTTT